CAAACGGGGTTGAGAGGACCTCTACCCTTATAAATTATATGGCAAAACTCAACTACTAATACGTCTCGAACCCACAACCTCACCACCTTAATTGAGAGAGGGGTGTTACCGTTGAACCACATGCCAACTCACCAGAATCCAGATGTTAATAACAAATCATTGAAGAAAGGGGACTGGACATTTCGCGTGCTGTAGTTTGGACTTTGGTTGATGGGAATTCGAAGAAACATCACCTAGATCTGCACTTGGAACAACTATGCTAGCTATAGTAGTAGTCAGTAATTCAGTATGTAGCACCTGGCCTAACAGTAGAAAAAACTCAAATAAGTGAATGTATAGAACCTGAACTCTTCCAGATGTGCTGGTCTACAACAATATTGGAGTAGTGATCTGATCAACTAGCTAGTCCGTACCAAGAAATGTCAAGTAATGTTAATTAGAACCTGAACTCTACCAGCTAGATGTGCCATCTCTGATTGCACTACTCAGATTACAATGTGGTGTGGTGTGGGGTGGGGTCCCAATACTTGACTGATCTGACCATACTCATCTAGGCATCTTGACATCCAGCACTACTGTGTTTGTGATCAGTTCTCCATGCAGTACTACTTGTTCTCTTTAGTCTTGACCTAAACCCTAGAACAGATTATTCTCTAACAAAAAGTTAGGCAAAATTCCACACAGCAGCCTAGAACACTGCATTTACAACCACAAGCTTACAAAACAACTAACACATTAAATAATAAAAAGCTGTTAAATAAGAAGATTTTTTTATCTTAATAATGGGATATAACTTATAAGTGGAATACAATCAGATCTCACAATCATATTATATATATAGTGAAAATTTTGTCCTTAATTTAAAACCTAGCTAAACCCTGAATTAAATATGGATTTAGAACTTGTTGATTCTGACACTTATGCTAAATGTACTACATAAAACATATATATCTAAACATTTAACATTTGAAGAGGTGTATTGATCAATAATTACCCAAACAATAATCAAGTTAGGGATAGATTTAAATTATGAAATTGAACATTTACCAAAAAAACAAAGATGAAATTGAATTAGGCTCAGTGATTGATGTTGATACCTATGAACATTGAAGGATAGAAACTTCACATGCCAGAAACTAACTGAAGGGATGGTTTGAAAACATTTGGCCAATCCCATCTATACTGAACAGTCCAGATCTTTGACCGACATGTGAATCAACGAACATACTGATAATTATATCATGAATCATGATTATTATGACTCAACAAGAGTCAAACAAATCTGTCAAGTCATATAAAATTTTCTTCATTGCTCTTGTCATATACAGTAGTATTGAAAATTCTTATCATCTAGTGCATAATAACTAATTAATAAACTCTGTCAGTCAGCATATTAACAAACCCTAAACATAACTCAAAGAAAGATTGTTAAAAATTTTAAATAAATCAAAGAGAGAGGGAAAATTAAAGAGTGGTGATATAACCACAACAACATATAGTATACAACATGCAAAACAATATATGCATGGCTCCTCGCACGCCATCCACAAAGGCCATCTCGTACTAAAATGGACTAAGCAAATGGCATACAGGGAGCCAGGCATACATGATAGAGCACTTATACATGCATGTATTCTGTATTTATATGTGTGTGTAACTTACACCAACATCTCAACTTACTTCATTCACCAATATAATCCACCATCATCAAGAAAGTATGTAGCAAGATCGAATTGAAGAAGAAAACCCACAACTCCATTTTAGCTTTAGGTAGCTTGAATTGCTGAAGATCAGAAGCTAATTATAATTAATAAGGACCACCAATTCAAACTTAAGAAGGAAGTGATATAGTAATGTGTGGAGAATGAAGAAGCTGGAGAGGACTTGAATCAAGTATATATCTATTCAAGAAAGGAAGAAAGAAGCTTTAATTGTAAATCAATTCAACTCTAAGAAAGAGTCTAAAGTGCATATGAAATGAATTGGTATGCCCCACAAGCTTCTGCTTTCATAAACAAAACTACCTTTTGCTTTGGCACCTTCATCAACTCCACAACATTTCTAATTTTCTACTTTTGGTGGGGGTGTGTGGGTGGGGGGGGGAGAGAGAAGCTCTTTCTCTTGACTTAGCTATAAAACTCAGCTAATTTCATGGCTTTGTGGGGTTTGAAGCTACACTCTCCCAACTCACACTAATTATAGAAGAAAAAGAAAGCAAAAAGAAGCAAGCAA